AAATGATTTTAGCAAATGGCTGCAATATAACAAAGAGTGAAAAATTTAAGGGGGTCTGAATACTTTCCGTACCCACTGTATATATAAAAACAAAAATACATAATTTAAAATGTTATAAAATAATAAAAAAAATAGAATTGGGAGGATTTTAGTAAAATAACTCAAAATTCTATATTCAAAAGGTAGCTTAATTTTATATATATATATAAAAGATTTTCTTTGTGTCCCTATCAGTTACAAAATCTACTGACCGCCAACATGAATAATCATCTAAATAAAAATACAGAATTTAAAAGGTTTCATTTTGGGGTGAATTTTAGTCCACAAAAAAGGCAGTAGCGCCAAACACTCGTCCAAAAATCCAGTAGACAAAAACATATGGTGCGTAGATCCAAAATATACAAAGATGAACGAGATCCGCACTCCTCCAAATGCAGCTAAAAAAAAGCTTGTTCCATTTATTGTTCAGAGGTCACAAAAATATGTAGGAAGAAGTGCAAAAGTGCAAGTGCAAATTAGACAAATTAGAACTCGGATCATTGAGCATATGAGCGCTATTAGGAGGAACGATTTCAAATCTCCTGTGGTTCGCCATTTTGTTGAGATGTCTCATTCAGTCTTAGACCTACATTTGATAGCTATTGAAAAGTTGACACAGACTCGTAGACGTGGGAATTTAGAACGTAGACTTTTGCAAAAGGATTGTAGGTGGATTTTTGATCTTAAAAGTCTACACCCTCTGGGTATGAATGAAGATTTGTCTTTGAATTGCTTTTTTAAAAATAATTGAATGATATATATAGGGGACTCGAAGAGTACTTGGGTATGATGTTTATTGATTGTATACATAAACACTGATGTTAAGAATTATTGTTGGAGTCATGAGATTATTATTTGGTGTATATGTATATTTTGTTGATATAGTTGGATATGAATTTCGGATGACTTGTGAATGTATTTCCTGTATTTTGTTATAGATTTGAGATATATATATATGTGTATTTGTTTAAAAGATCGTCGTGATACTAGGGGTATTACGGTAATACATGTTAATGAGCGCAGGTGCTGCTTGATAGCACATGGAAGCAACAGGAAGGCTTATTACCAGAAAATGTTCTGCACTTGCACTTTGCACTTCTTCCTACATATTTTTGTGAGCTCTGAACAATAAATGGAATAAGCTTTTTTAGCTGCATTTGGAGGAGTGCGGATCTCTTTCATCTTTGTAGTGGTGAATTTTTGTAAAATAATTCTACATTTTATATTATTTTAATTTTATTTGAGCAATTTCTCATTTTTTAGCAATCTCATTTGGTGTCATTAAATTATTATATATAAAAATAAATACATAATACATAAAAAATCTACTGACCGCCAACATGAATAATCATCTAAATAAAAATACAGAATTTAAAAGGTTTCATTTTGGGGTGAATTTTAGTCCACAAAAAAGGCAGTAGCGCCAAACACTCGTCCAAAAATCCAGTAGACAAAAACATATGGTGCGTAGATCCAAAATATACAAAGATGAACGAGATCCGCACTCCTCCAAATGCAGCTAAAAAAAAGCTTGTTCCATTTATTGTTCAGAGGTCACAAAAATATGTAGGAAGAAGTGCAAAAGTGCAAGTGCAAATTAGACAAATTAGAACTCGGATCATAGCTTAATTTTATATATATATATAAAAGATTTTCTTTGTGTCCCTATCAGTTACACATTTTATATATATATATATAAAAGATTTTCTTTGTGTCCCTATCAGTTACAAAATCTACTGACCGCCAACATGAATAATCATCTAAATAAAAATACAGAATTTAAAAGGTTTCATTTTGGGGTGAATTTTAGTCCACAAAAAAGGCAGTAGCGCCAAACACTCGTCCAAAAATCCAGTAGACAAAAACATATGGTGCGTAGATCCAAAATATACAAAGATGAACGAGATCCGCACTCCTCCAAATGCAGCTAAAAAAAAGCTTGTTCCATTTATTGTTCAGAGGTCACAAAAATATGTAGGAAGAAGTGCAAAAGTGCAAGTGCAAATTAGACAAATTAGAACTCGGATCATTGAGCATATGAGCGCTATTAGGAGGAACGATTTCAAATCTCCTGTGGTTCGCCATTTTGTTGAGATGTCTCATTCAGTCTTAGACCTACATTTGATAGCTATTGAAAAGTTGACACAGACTCGTAGACGTGGGAATTTAGAACGTAGACTTTTGCAAAAGGATTGTAGGTGGATTTTTGATCTTAAAAGTCTACACCCTCTGGGTATGAATGAAGATTTGTCTTTGAATTGCTTTTTTAAAAATAATTGAATGATATATATAGGGGACTCGAAGAGTACTTGGGTATGATGTTTATTGATTGTATACATAAACACTGATGTTAAGAATTATTGTTGGAGTCATGAGATTATTATTTGGTGTATATGTATATTTTGTTGATATAGTTGGATATGAATTTCGGATGACTTGTGAATGTATTTCCTGTATTTTGTTATAGATTTGAGATATATATATATGTGTATTTGTTTAAAAGATCGTCGTGATACTAGGGGTATTACGGTAATACATGTTAATGAGCGCAGGTGCTGCTTGATAGCACATGGAAGCAACAGGAAGGCTTATTACCAGAAAATGTTCTGCACTTGCACTTTGCACTTCTTCCTACATATTTTTGTGAGCTCTGAACAATAAATGGAATAAGCTTTTTTAGCTGCATTTGGAGGAGTGCGGATCTCTTTCATCTTTGTAGTGGTGAATTTTTGTAAAATAATTCTACATTTTATATTATTTTAATTTTATTTGAGCAATTTCTCATTTTTTAGCAATCTCATTTGGTGTCATTAAATTATTATATATAAAAATAAATACATAATACATAAATAATATAAAAATTAATACAATTGAATAAATAACTAACTAAAGTACACATTCAATTTATTTAAATTCATTTCATTCAATAATTTCTTTATTTTTTGTAGAGTTTATGTACAGTTAAATACAAAAGAGTAAAACTCACTCCAAACGTTTATATATTACTTATATAGTAAAGAAAATATTCTATACCTGACAGTGGCCTTACCCGATCAACTTTGATGATTTGAAATTTTTGTGTGATGTCTGCCAGATTGGATGGCAGTCTGGAACGTCCGGACACGAAGCGCAGGAACAGGACTCTCTCCTCATTGGTAAATTCCTCAAGGCTCTGCCACAGCCAGCCAATGAGCTGATGGCTGTCGGTAATGTCACGGTATCGTACCACCTTCTTCAACATCTCCACGGAGACCTCGGGCAGGCCGCACACCAGCTGTTCCAGCTGTCGAGCCGTGAGCAGGGAAAGCAACGGGACTGGGATGATTGAGGACATGCCCTCCCTCACTGCTGCCACCTACATAAACACACATACTGCGTTACCACTGCTTATGCACCGTCAGCATGCAAGTCTACAGTCTACATGCATTATTATAAACAGCAGGGACACTAACAGTGCTTGCTGATGGACATTAACTATTCCTTTAAGTGAAGTGTTTAGTTAACATGATTTTGATTCTGTAATTCCAAAGTGTCTGGAGGAGAGGCACATACCTGTCTGTCCATCTCATGAAGTCTGTAGTGCAGGGCTCTCTCCACATAATCATTCCTGTTGGAGAATGTCAGAGGAACGTTATGCCCACCAGGAATCACTGGAACCGACGTGCCATCAGCACTGTGCGCCACAAACGAGTCCAGAGGGATCATCTAAAAATCCAGAATAAAACCGACAGTGAGAAAGTCATGTCTAAATGAATGATCTCTGCTGGTCTCTCTATGTGCCTCACCACTGTGAAGTTCTCTTCATTGATCACGCTATTGTCCAGGTGTAAGATGCCCTGAAGTGAGCGGTATGTGAGCAGGTCCACCTCCTCCAGGTCGGCGGCTCCCAGAGGAATACAGCACATCTGTTTCCACACCCATGGCGCCAGGTGCAGATCCAAGGGCTTTTTGGTTCGAATGGCCACTGCCATTAGGATCCCCAAGAAGCGAAACTGCACCATGTGATCATCCAAGGCTGCTGCTGGGTTCAGCAAGAACCTGTCCAGACAATGGAGGTTAGTAGAAAAACAATCTTTCTATTTAGAGCCATTAGAGTGCTGCAGGGATGACGTATTATTGTAGACCAAAACCAGGAAACAAGTTAGCATCTCCGCACTTCCCGTTGCATTGTCCCAAAATCAATGGTGGTTTTTTAATGGGTTGTTGATTAAAAGCCTAAAATAAGGTTAGGGGTCAAACACATTCTGCTAATATATCTCAGCATCTACAACGTACCTGTCCGTGTTGCTACCAACATCTGCAGTGCTGTTGGGAGTGTGAATGAGAAGCTCGACCACACCAGACTGCAACTCCTGGGAAAAGATCATTTGATTTTTCGATGCCTGAATATGAAGGTGACCCTCCCTTAGTGCTAAGAGTTTAAGAACATGGACTTACCTGGCACATTTCAGTGATGGTGTCGTCAAACACACCGCCGGCATCATCTGCCCCCTCTCCAACCAGCTTCACCTTCCATGCTCTGGAGGGCAGACGCAGCTCAGTAGGGTTCAGGTTCACCACCTGCTTGGCGATCTGCATGAAAATGGGCTTGCTAGAGCGCCCCCTGTGGATTGGAGGACAAGGTTAGGTACTTGATCAAGTAAAAAGTTTAAATCTTGGCAAAAACAAATCTGCAGCTCAAACCCCCCATTGTCATGAATTTTCTAGATTTTAATGATTAATTGTGTAATAAAAGTATTAAGAATTTTTAAAAATATTGTTTTAAAATATACTATTTAAAATATAATAAAGATATTAAAATATATTTTAAAATATAATACTCACAATTTCTACCTGATACAATATTTTAGATCTAGGCACAACTAGAAAAACAAATATTCATTATAAAAATGGCCAAGGAGTTACATGATTTTATTAATTTACATGACAAATCACTTTTCGAAATGGTGTAAATCTTAGGTAAATGAAACATTTCTAGTTGTGTTGGCTTATTTTAATGTTTGTTTGTTTTTTTGTCTTATTTTGAAACATTATTTCATGAAATATATATTTTCCTGCACAAGTACATTACATGGAGTTCAACTTCAGAGAATAATAAAAATATTAGCAATAATGTCTATATAATAATAGCAATAACAATAGTATAGTTATTATTATTATTACTATGATTGTTGTATTATACTGTCAAATAATTACCAAAAAACCCCCCAAACAAACATTGCAAACACTGGATCATTATCACAGTGCTGCGTTTCACTCAGAATCATGCAGCACATATATTTATTCAATTAAAATCACAGCCTTTGTTATTTAATAATCAAACTAATCCATATCATGATTTCGGTTTTATTTAGATTAATTGTGCAGCCCTGGTTAAAAGCTCAGACTTGTACCTGGTGGAGATCCGTTTGACTGTAATCTGGGGGCCGTAGGTCTTTCCCTGCGTCATGGTTCTGCCGATAGTGCGAACGAGAGGAAGGGTGTTGACTTTTGGGGACAGCAGGCCTCTGAGTTGGCCCTGCACGATGGCAGCGGTACCTGAGCTGTAGCGGGAAGCATTTACCTGGAAACCAGCCAGAGTGACACGCTCAGACAAAACTTCTGCTTGGATATCAACCGACACAGACCTATTAGTCTGGAGGTAAAAAACAGGAACCGTAACAAGGAACACTTTCACACTGTACACAAAGTACCTGACTGCGGGGGTCGAGGTTCAGAAGCCTCCAGGACTTGTACATAAGATCAGAGAAGTGGTACAGCACTCTGAGTCGGGTGTTTAGCACTTCAGGGCTGAAGTCTTTGAGGACATTATACTGCGGAGGCACAGACTGAGGTAGACCCAGCTGTATCCCTGAACAACCTGCAAAATACACAGTCAGAGTTGATGACACAAGATGCAAAAACCAATCTCACATCCAACCGCTGAGGAACTGATCCTAGTACAGACGGTTCACTGATGAGGTCAGAGTCTGTGGAGATGTGAACATTTTATTTGCTGAGATACCAAGCTGAATATGGCCATGATACAGTGGAAAAAATAGCCTGTGTATTTATAGTTTTTGACCAATATGCAAAGCTGAATTTTCAACATCATTACTCCAGTCTTCAGTATCACACGATGCTTCAGAAATCATTCTAATATGCTGATTTGCTATTGAAGAAACAATTTATTATTATTATTATTAATGTTGAAATAAGCTGTGCTGCTTGTTTTTTTGTGGCAACCATGATACTTTTCAGGATTTTCAGAAAGTTCAAAAGAATGGCATTTATCTGAAACAGAAATCTTTAGTAACATGTTTGTTTTACTGACACTTGGTTAAGTTAATGCATCCTTACTGAATAATAACATTACTTTCTTAAAATAAAAACAAAAATTAAATGTGTATATTTACTATACAAATTCCATGACATTTTTAGGATTTTGTTGATTTCTACGACCTTCCCAGGACTAATTTTTGTTTTTGATTCTTTAAAGAATTTATGTAGCACTCCTGTCTTAGCTACTCCTGACTTCTCAAAACCTTTTAAACTTGAGGTTGATAGCAGTACTAGTGCAGGTGCTGTTACAAGATGAAAATGGAATTGATCACCTATTGTGTTTCTTTTCTAAGAAATTCAGTCACCAATGTAATAACAGTACCATTGAGAAAGAAGCCCTCTCCCTCTTGTTAGATTTGCAACAATTTGAAGTTTATGTTGGTTCAAGTTCACAGCCTGTTGAAGTTTTTACTGATCACAATCCTCTTGTATTTTTGCAAAAGTTCTGTAATAAAAATCAAAGACTCATGCATTGGGCTTTAATCTGTCAAGATTTTAACTTATACATCAAGTATAAGAATTACAAGGATAATATTATTGCAGATTCTCTGTCAAGAACTTGTCCATAAACATGAAACATGTTTCTTCTTGTGTATGGGGGTGTTATGGCCCTTTTGTTCCATTTCTGTGTTTTCTTTTGTTTGGGAGGTGTGTCTTCTGTCCAGGAAAAAGACCGATTGGTTTCTGCTGTCTAATTGGTGCCACGCCCTGCCTGGTCAGCTGACTCCTTGCTGCTTATAAAAGCCTCCTTTGTGACTTCCTGCATCAGCCTCGTGCTAACTCGCTGTGTTTGCCTTGCCTGACTTACTAGTTTACTTACTTATTAGTTAGTTTCAGACCATGTTAGAAAGACTGTGAGAGTATCTTTGTGTGTTCATTCGAGTGTATAACTGAGAGAGAGATTGCTTGCTTGTTAGTTTGCTTAGCCAACTTATTTGTAATACCGACTGTTATTGAACAGTGCTAGTTGTATGGTGTATATAAGTGAACATTATTGTAGCTGCTGCACATGTACAGCATTCCAAACAGTTCGCTTATGAGGTTCCAAGACTAGGATTTGTGTGTACCTGAAGCTCTGGTTGACAGAGCCGGTGTGGTCCAGGCCGAGGTATGACAGCGTCCAGCCGAGATCTGCCTGATGTTCTTGCCCTGTAGAGCAGTAACCAGAGTAGGCTCTTTGACGGGATTGGAATGGCCCAGACCCAGCTGCAATGCGCACAAAAAAGACACAAGCTCAACTAAATATTCACCCATTCACAAATATCCACAGAAAACATAATTAAACATGATGGTAATAGGTCGGTGTGCTGTTTTAGCTGACTGTACCTGGGCCTCACAGTTGCAGCCCCATGCGTACACGTCTGCGGTGTTGGATAAAGCAAGGATGTGCTCGCAGCCAACAGCGATGTCCTCAATGAAGACGCCCTCCAAAGCCGGAATGATCTGTGGCCGGTTGTGATTCTTCAGCATGGAGTCCGGCAGACCTATCAGACGCTCTGTGAAAACATACACGCATATAAGGGCTGTCTCAACATTACAAAGGTGCTTCGAAAAACACAGTCAGCCTTACATTCAAAATATCTCTTTCTTTTTTGAATGAAAATAGAATAAATGAAAATGATGCCACATTTACACACAAACACATTTGGATGATGATGATTATTCCTGGAGGGTCTACCTTGGCCGAATGTGTAGACGTGTCCATCTTTGGCCAGAACCACTGAGAAATGTGTTCCACATCCAACCTTTTTAATGCCTTTATTGCAAAGAGCCTCCACTTTCTAACAACGAATAGAAACACAGGACAATCAGTCAATGAAAAAAACATGCACTGCTTTTTAGAAGTTTGGGGTCAGTAAGACTTATATATATATATATATATATATATATATATATATATGAAATAAAAAATTTTTGGAAAGAAACTGATCATTTTATTCAGTAAGGATGCATTAAATTGATAAAGAGTGACCGTAAAGACATTTTGTTACAAAATGTTACAAAACATTCAAATAAATGTTGTTCTTTTGAGCTTTCTATTCTTCAAAGAAAGTTTTGTCAACAATAATAAGAATGTTTCTTGAGCACCAAATCAGCATATTAGAATGATTTCTGAATCATGGATCATGAGTAGACTGGAGTAATGATGCTGAAAATTCAGCTTTGCATCACAGAAATTAATTATATTTATATTAATCACATTCAAATAGAAAACAGTTTTAAATGTTTTTACTCTATTTTTGGTCAAATAAATGAAGCCTTGGTGACCATAATATTCATCTTTCAAAAATATGACCAAATCTTACTGAATACAAACTTTTGAACGATAATGTACCTGATGATCAGCCAATGAGAAGATCAATCGGTAAGACTGTACCTGTGGGTAGCACTTCACTGTACATGGTCCGATACCCAGTTTACCATAATCTCCGTCTCCAAAAGCCCACACGGTCAGGCCGTCCGATGACAGGACTAAAGTATGATTGATGCCACATGACACCTAAACACAACAGAAAAGGTCATCTTCACTCATCACGCACTGGTCAAAGGTCATATACACACATTAGAATGAAAGTCCAAACAAAGAAGAAGCACCTGTCCAATGTGGTATCCATCTAGCGCTGTAACTCTCTCTGGGACCATCTTGTTCGAAGTTGACCTCTGACCCAAGCGTCCAGAATCTCCACTGCCAAAGGTGAAAAGTTTTCCATCCGCTGTGACGGCGGCCGAGTGTTTGAACCCACATGCCAGCTGAAAGAAGGAAATGAAGTTCAAATGAAAGCTGATCATGTGATGGTTTTGGTGATTATCTTGGAGAGCAATTTTCTTTACCTGCACAACTTCCTCTCCCTGCAGAGCCTCGATCTGTTTGGGTCGCCTTTGCCTTTCACTGTTCCCGTGGCCGAGTTTCCCATAATCCCCATCCCCCCAACTGAACACCTCTCCGGTCTCAGTGAGAGCCAATGAGTGGCCATCAGACCCATATGATGTCACCAGCTGTGTCACTACATAACCTATTAAGGAAAAAATTCCATGTAATAGATTTAATATATATTTCATGCATTTTCATATTGAGTTAAAGTAAAAAATATTTTTTTTTTTAAAGTAATAATAATCACTATATCAATAAAATCACAACCTATATATACATATATATATATATATATATATATATATATATATATATATATATATTATATAGTATATACAATCTTATTCCCAGCACATGTTCAATACATTTTATTAAAGCTTAGAGCTTAATTATTATTATTATTATTAATTAATTAATTAATTTAGACAGCTACAGTTTATCTTTATCTTTTCTTCTTTATTTCTCTTGTATCGATATTTAATAATAAAATTAAATCAGATCAAGCACAAGATTAACGATTTTTTTGTAGGTTATTATTATTATTAATTATATAATTATAGTTACAATATTTTATTTTCAATAAGTTATTAGAAAAATAAATTTTAAGAGGTTGCTATTTTAATGATGTTATTAAATAATACAATTATTATTATTGTTGCTATTGTTATTATTTATGTTGTTTGTTGATCATGTTGTTTGCTATCAAGTTATTTTGTTGTATGTTATTATTGTTGTTATTTAATTAACAAAATAATAAAATGATTTTAGTTAACTGACAGCCACAGTTATGTTTTTCTCCAAACAACTCTAAAATGAGATGAAACTCTCATGTATTCATTCAATAAAAGTTATATAAGACTCCGTAAGAGTAAATTCCCATTTCAATATTTCTCTGCTTCTATTTTCCCCCCAAATTCCATGAGTGTTGGAATGTCAGTAAATTAGTGAAGTGAAGTGAAGTGACATGTGGCCATGTATGGTGACCCATACTCGGAATTTGTGCTCTGCATTTAACCCAACCAAGTGCACACACCTAACCAAGTGCACACACACACCGTGAACACAGCAGAGGGCAGCCATATTGCTGCGGTGCCCAGGGAGCAGTTGGGGGTTCGGTGCCTTGCTCAAGGGTCTCACCTCAGTCGTGGTATTGAGGGTGGAATAGAGTGCTGGTTATTCACTCCCCCCACCGACAATTCCTGCCGGACCTGAGACTTGAACCCACAACCTTTGGGTTACAGGACTCTCTAACCATTAGGCCACAACTGCCCCAAATAAAATCAGTGTACAAATATTACTGGCACTAGCCTGGAAATTTGTTTGCTGTGGTTTGCATCACCTTGTAAAGCTGAGATGACAGTTGGGGTGTAGAGGTCGTCTGAGTTACCCTGTCCGAGTCGTCCGTAACTGCCCTCCCCTACAGCCAGAATGGTACCGTTAGCCTGAACCAGGAACGTGCAGTTCTGACCACACACAACCTGAGAGGAACACACAGCAGAGATAAATAGAGAGGATTACTCTTTCTTTAAATGTACATGCCAACTTGTGGTAGTTTTGCATGTGTTTGGTGTTGACACTCTACCTGTTGAGTCTGAGAGAGGGAGGGAGCGAGGGTGGGCACAGATGCGCTAGTCCCGGCATCCGCCAGCTGCCCGTGACGTCCGTTACCCCACAGGTACACCTCACTTTTACCACCCTGCTGCCAGTCCTGTCAAATACACAAACATGATTTTATTAGATTAAAAAAAGATGTTTAAAGCACTGTTAAATACAATACTATTTCCTTTATACACATATCTTAATATACTGATGCTAAAAACGGCCATGTCCATTAAATGGCCAATTCAGCAAGCTGTAAAGGTAAAATAGGCACGGAGATATGCTTTAAATGAAGAGAAAAGGAGTTTTATGTAGAGACAGGTTTTGTGTGGCGCTAGCTGGTAGGGTTTGTGTAGGTAGGTAATTTATAAAAGCTGAATGAATAAAAACACGTGAAGAGTGATAAAAATCTGCCTGAAAGAACAATGCTGAACACAGGGACTATACTGACAGAGACGAATGAGGGAGATCCGGATGTCTTAACACACACTTCCACGTGTCTGCTAAACTTCACACACGTTCAGGAACACACAGACTTACTTCAGGTCTGCTGGTCGCCCAGGACATGAGCTGTTCATCCATCATGAAGGTCCATTTACTGTTGTCCTGGAAGGAGAACAAAAGACACTTTGCATAAATCAAAATAACCTTTAAGGGGCATATTGTGGAAAACAGGATTTTCTTTGCTCAGCTGAAATAAGGAATTTTGGTATCACTGAGATACAATTATAGTGTTTATTAATATTTTGAATCAGTGTTTATTTTTATATTTTCTGTTTTCATTTTCATTTTAGTTAAATGTTTAGTAATTTTGTTGTGTTTTTTATATTATATATTAGTCGTCTATATATTTTTTTATTAATTTCTATTTCTATTTCAGTTTTAGTTGTTATTTTAGTACATCAACTTTCCATTTTGATCCTTGCTATGTATTTCTTCTTTTCTAAAAAATAAAGCAGCAAAAACAGCTCATTTAATATTCCAAGTGTCAAAACGAGAGTCAAAAAAGGTCATGAATAAATTATGTTGTTTTATGTGCAAAAAAACTTCACTAACATTATAAGCGGATTATGAGGGGAAAGAAATTGTACAAATATTTCACAAGGATTAACTCCTCTGCCTCTTACCAGTGGTTTGGTCAACTCTGTGGATCCAGAATGATGGAACTCAGGTGCGATGAAGGATTCTGGGAACGGGGTGCCACGAGCAAACGCCTCTGCGCTCTTCACTGTGGTTGAATAAATGGAAAGCCAGTTCCACTCTGAGGGGCAGAAGGATCCAGGGGTCCCGTCCTGATCCGGCCCTGTCCCGCTGTGGTGAGGTGGTCTGGGCTGACGGCACAGTAACTGATCCAAGAAGAGACCCACGGCCAGTGTGGCCAGACTCTGAAGAAAGGCGCTGTGAGTCAGCTGATCGCCCGCCATCACATGACTCTGAGGAGCGAGACACACATGAAAGGATATACAGAATGCACTGAGAATACCATCATAATGGAAATAACTTTGGAATAATTAAGGCTTTATGTTTTTTGAAAGATGCTCACCAAGGCTGCATTTATTTGATCAAAAATACATTGAAACAGTAATACGGTGAAATAGTATTATTTTCTATTTTAATATATTTTAAAATATAATCTGATGAAGTAAAACTAGGTGGTTCTGAGGTGATGTTGACCCAGAGAGCTGCAGTTCATTAATCAGAGCAGAAGCTGCAGTGAACTCCTCAGAAGACTATATAAAATAAACATCATTACATTGGACAAGAAGTCTCAGTTTTGATGAAAAACTTGATGTACCTTCTCATAGCTGTACTGCTCCTGAAGCAGTGTGGGAAGGCGCTCAAGAAAGACGGCCATGCAGGGGGCACGATTCAATCCCAGAATGCTCTGACTTCGTAGAACGGAACGGCAGGAGGCCAGAACGTGATTCTGAGATATCCAGTCTGGGGTACAGCGAATTAGCAAAGCATCCTGAGATAGGAGAAACAGAATTAAACATTAATTACACATTTTTTAATTAAACATTAATTGACTTCAACACTTTTTCAGAAAATGTTTGGTACCTTTGATCTTCCAGAACAAGCGGTCACCCCTATGTGTGGTATCCAAGTGGTACAAACCACAGAGCCCATTCCTGTAACCACAGTCTGCAGGACCGAACCATCCTAGAGCAGAGGGGAGTGTTTACAATCAAAAACAGGAGTTTTGTAAAGCTAATAAAAGAATACCTATAAGAAGCTTTTGGCTCACCCTGAGAGACCAGATGTTGAGCACCCCTCCGATTCCTCCAGACACCAGTGCAAGTCCACTGGGACAAAAAGACAGGGTCTTTACCGCGGTAATGTGTCCAGTCAGGCGGTACACACATTTAGCATTGCCCCGCTAAAACACAAAACACACACACACAGAGAGAGAGAGAGAGAGAGAGAGAGAGCGCTTTCTTAAACTCTGTTAACAAACTCCAAAAAAGACCTTTAGTGACAATTAATCTAACAGAGTGAAAGTGAATTAAAAGGTGAGGTTAAACAGGTAATAAATAAGAAGGCTTAATTTACTCCAAGTAAATTATCTAACCAAAAAAATAGATAAATGAATAAATCTGACCTTGATGGCACTGCTCTTGTCTTGGCTGGTAGATGGGGTGAGGAAATTGGGCACTAAGACATTAGCGCCCCCTTGAGGAAGAGTCCACACATACAGGAGGCCATTTTGACATCCACTGAGGAAATAAAGGACAATCTTAACATTTGGATGATGGATTAGACACCTGTGCATCCTTGACTACTAATGTCTACATATCCTAAAAATAATTCATGAAGTACTCATTTAAAGCTCTCAAAAAAGCTCCTATGAGATATCTTGTATCCATTCTTCATGTAAATGGTGTGGAAAATAATATTAGTGCCATATTATACATATATAAGTCCACTTACAATGTCTGATTCTTCTCACTTATAATGTTAATATTTCTTCCACCAAAGTCATCATTTAATTTACACATTTTCCTCTATTTTCCACACTTTCTATGACCTTTGGGTTTTACTTCTATTCTATCTATTTTCTAAATGAATGTCATAGCTCTTATTATGAACAATTTACCTGTGCATTTATCATTTTTAATACATATTTAAACCGAATTGTTCAATCAGAATGCCATAACTGGATCTTTCAGTGAAAATGAGAATGCTCCACATCTCAAAATCCATTCAATAATCAACGAACGATGGAGAGATCCAAATCCCCACCCTTCGTTACTTTAATAAAATAAAATATTAAAAAAACATTTTATTTCAGCTAGTTTCCAAGGCAACATTTCTCATTTTCTTTTAGTTTAACTTGATGTACTAAAAAAAAAAAAAAACTAAAACTGAAATAAAAATTATTAAAAACTATATAGACATTTTAAAAAACAACAAAAACAACTTCAACTAACATTAACAAAATATATGAAAAAAAAGAAAATCAAAATATTAACAAAAACTGTAATAGCATCTCAATGATACTATACAATAACACTGGTTGCTACTTCCATTTTATTGCCATTTTAAGAATTCTATATGTAAATGGATTTTTTATGAGTGAAATGAGTAGTAGCACCCCCAAAAATTTGCTAAATACTATATTTTTGTATAAAACAAAGCTTTTGTTTGAAATATAACTAACCTCACACTAATTAAGTTTAGAAAAATTAAATATTTAAAGAAGCTAATTGAAGAAAACATTTTCTAAAATATTGCTTATGCTTCATGTAACTTCCACCCAGCGATTAACAAAAAAAACCCATTTCAACTGGTCCAAAGAAATTATTTTTTCGCCAACTAGACAAAAAGCAGAATCATTATTGTCGGATGAAGTGTTTGTCTTCAGTTTGAGGACTCACAGGAAATGCTGTTAGCAGAATGGGCGGGTCAGTTTCGTAGCTTTCTGCTGTGGCTAGGAGAATTTTGCCATCGGGATAGCCCACGGCAAAGGTTTTATCAACACTGTACCAGGCCAGACACTGAGGTGCTGAACACAAGGAGGACAAAGACAGTGAAAGTTCATTCAATACTGAATTATCAGCCATTTTCTCCAAACACATTAAAACAGAGATCTTCAGCACATTTATGGACCAACCTTCTTTCCTATAGCAGTGAGTGAGCTCTGTTCGCTCCACCCTCAAGTCGTCTGTGACCTCCAGCCAGCAGAGGGAGCCGTCCAGCCGGCCCACCAGCAGACTCTCAGGAGGGCTGACCTGACTGCAGGCTTCCTGATTGAGGAACGGAGTGGAGGTCTGAACCCACGAGAGCGCAGTGACCCAGGAGGACTGAGCCTCGATGTGTGCCTGAGTACCTACAGGAAAGAAGACAAACACTAACGCGTTCAAGGTGCTTGTATACTACAACCACTTTGTCCAGGATGTTTTAAGCAGAGGCGGACAAAGTACTCAACTCCATTACTAGAGTGAAAGTACAGATACTGCTGGTCAAATATTACTCCATTACAAGTAAAAGTTGTAAAGACAGATTTTTACTTAAGTAAAAGTACAGAAGTACTTGCTTTTAAAAGTACTTAAAGGGATAGTTCACCCAAAAATGAAAATGTTATGTTTATCTGCTTACCCCCAGGGCATCCAAGATGTAGGTGACTTTGTTTCTTCAGTAGAACACATATGATGATTTTTAACTCCAGCCGTTGCAGTCTATCAGTCGTATAATGCATGGCAATGGTAACAAAATCCATGATAGTAAAAAAAAAAAAAAACATGCACAGACAAATCCAAATTAAACCCTGCGGCTCGTGACGACACATTGATGTCCTAAGACACGAAACGATCAGTTTGTGCCAGAAACCGAACAGTATTTATATAATTTTTTACCACTAATACACCACTATGTCCAACTGTCTTTGGACGCGCACACAGCATCCGGTGCGTGAGGTGTGTACGCGCTCTGGTGTAGTTTACGTTAATGGGTGTGTTGATGTCCAGCCGAAGAGCAATCAACCATAACTTCAGGCGAGCAGGCTCAGAAGTTAGGTATACGTGGAAAGTCACCACTCCCGAATGAGTTCGCGAGAGAGAAAGTAATCTTTTAGTTTTAAGTCGGTTTGAACAATCCGGATAAGTGCAAGTAAGTACCATTTTGATTAGCCGTCGTACCTACAATG